TTGAAAGAAGGTGCAGCTGCCTGTTTAAAACAAGAAATTTCGTTATATAGTTCGTTATATTGAGACCTATTTTTGGCATAGAAAGTGATCGAATTGGAGAATGATGTCTGAATCAAAGTTGTAGCTAGATGAGTTAGCTTTCTAACACATTTTGAATCCCCTCAATCGGATATCGAAATACAAAGTTATGATAAAAACACTGAAAGAAAGTGCAGTTGCCTGTTTAAAACAAAAAATTCGGTTACATAGTCCGTTATATTGAGACATATTTTTGGCATAGAAAGTGATAAAATTGGAGAATGATGTCTGAATTAAAGTTGTAGTCAGATGGGTTAGTTTTTCAACACATTTTGAATCGCCTCAATCGAACATTGGAATACAAAGTTATGATAAAAACACTGAAGGAAGGTGCAGCTGCCTGTTTAAAACAAGAAATTCCGTTATATAATCCGTTAAAACAACAAATTCCGTTAGTTTTTCCGTTAAACCAACAAATTCCGTTATATAGGCACTTTTTATATATAGAAAGATATTATTAATTTCTTTTTTTATTTTGATATTGTATCGTTGATTAATGAGAATGGTTCTTGAATTTGATGACAGTTTCATTTAAACTTAGTAAGCATTCTTATTTGAACAAGAAATTAAAAATTAAATATCAATTAATAAATAATAAATGTAAATCTGGAAATCAAGAGTAAAAAAATCAGTCTTTTATTCCAATAAAAAAAAAAAAAATCCTCCTACCAATATTCATATCCATGGGTATCTCAAAGAGAACACTCAATTTCATTTATCATTATCACTATTTTGTAGGTTAACTAAATTCAAGTTTGAAAACAACAAATTTATGTAAAAAGGAAACAAACAATGACAAAGAAAAATATGCAAAAAAAAAAAAAAAGGATTTTCTTTCTATCACCCTTTAGTGGGTTTTTCCCCCTTAGCCAATCAGTAAACAATATATAATTTCATTTTTAATCAATTATAACTATGTGAAATGGATTTTATCAATGGAATTTTTTTAAGGAAAAATGTAATGAAATAAAATATAAGGGTTTGATTAGTTTGTGTTTCAGTTTTTTATTTTGAGGGTCTGCTTTCAGATTGGTAAAAATATGTTTGATTTGTCATTTTTAAAAATTGTTTCTAAAATTGAAAACTAAAAAAAACGTTCTGTTTGGAATTTTATAAAAAAAAAAATTTTATGATATTTTATTCTATGAAATTTCATTATTCAATAAAAATAGAACAATTTTATGTTAATATATTATTAAATAATATGTGCATTTTAAAGTCGATGAATTTTATAATACTTTTTTACAAAAGTAAAAAATAAAAAAAAAAAATAATAATAATAATTGAGTTCAAAATATAGAAAATGAAAATTAATGATGTGGACTAAAAATATTTTTATCCGTGTCCATCAAAATATTTTTAAATTTTTTTGGATGTAAATAATCATTAAAAGTTGGAACTATTTTTATATTTTTATTTTTTATGATTTAATTTTTTTTTTACTTTTTAGGATTTTATTTTTTTTTAGAATTTATTTTTTAAAATTTTTTATTTTTTAATATTAGAAAAAAATTATTTAGACGTTTGATTTTCTATATTTTGAGTGTGTTTAGAATTTTCACCAAAAACACTCAAAACATTAAAAATGTGTTTTGAATTTTATGTTATAAGTTTAACCTTATTTTCGAAAATGCATTTTCAGAAATACCAAATCAAATACACTTTCAGTGTTTTGTAAAACTAAAAACGGGAAACAGTCTGAAAACAGTAAATCAAACACATCCTAAATGTTTCAGACCATTTATTTATTTATTAATAGATTAGGGCTATATTGGTAACTTAATTGTAGTGTATTACCAAAAAAATTTGTAATTGGGGCGCATTTATATAGTAGTAGGACAAACAAAAATTGTTGTGGTAATATATATACCCACAAATTATTTATAAATTTTAAAACTTCATTTTCAAACACATATTCCAATAAAACCACAAGTTTTAACACTCATCCATTATCCATTTGAAATCTATTTATAAGGTGAGCTATTTATATATTCGTCCTAAAAGGAGGCATTTCACCCTTCTTTTGAAGCCCTCTTTCATACTTGTCCATATGCAGGAATTGATGTTTACCTATGCTTCAAAGTTACTTTTCAAAAAAACAAAGTTTTATTAGTTAGAAAATAACTTTAATAAACATGTTTGACTAGGTTTGTGCATTTTTACCCGGAATTAACCGATTTGAATTAGTCGATTGGTTCTGCGTTTTAGAATCAATAACCACATGGTTCTAGTCTAACTTCCGATTCTAAATATAGAACCAAATTTTAATCCGGTTCCAAAATATTTATTTTGTAATATCAATAAAGCTAGTTCATATGTATTCAAAATAATTTAGAATTAACATAAATGTAAAATCGAAATATGAAAAGATGCACTATAAAATATATTTTTGAAGTAACTAATGGTTCCTATGAAAAATAGGGATCCGACTAAATCGGATCAAATGCCCACCCTATGTTTGACAATGATTCCATTTTTGCAATTCTCGATGAGAATCGGTTCTATGTAGGGATGGCAACAGAACGAGGGACGTTTCCCAGACCCCTTTACCTGTTTAAGGCGGGGTGGGGCAGCGTAGGGCAGGGCTCTTGCCCCGTTTAATTTTTTTTTTTTTTTTAAGTTTTTGATAATTTATTTTATTATCCACATTCATTAGACTGGGATATAAATATATTTTTTAATTTTTACTTACTTTTAAAAGTTAAATTATTCAAATATATTTGGTAAATTAAGACTTTATTATTTGTCATATTTTTTAGATAATTTTAGTTGCTATTTTCTATTAGAATTAATGAAATTTCGTGAAATTTTTCATTTAAAGTATTGAATTCTAGAGGAAAAAAATAAAACGGGACGGGGCATCGGTTACCGATCCCCACCCCGAACCCACCATGGAGCAAAATTCCTCACATTGTCCACGACCAAAATACCCGCTTAAGAACAAGGCAGGACTTGCGTGTATCGGGTTTGTCGATTATTTTTTTGTTACCATCCCTGGTTCTATTCCGGCTCTTAAGGTATTTGTACCGAAATATCCGATGTGACACGTCTATGTTTGACAAAATCATAGTCATCGTCATTTTCATTAAACAAAAGTATTAAAGAGTTCAAGTAGGGTGAGTGGTGGAGACGGTTTGAGACGGTCGAGCCGGCAAGGCTGATGGTATAGTGCTAGTGACATGGAGTTAATAATAAAATTAGGCCAGTCAAAAAAAATTTAAAATTTGTAATTAATCAATATTATATATAAGTAACTAACACTTACGGCCATTAGGGTTAAAAAAAAATTGTACCCTTTTTGGCAACTGAGCTTTCAATTTTGATGATTTCCAAGCTAATTGGAATCATTCACTCTTGAACATGTATTTTGTGGCTATATATTTTTGGTTATTAACTTTTGTTTTAACCTAGTATTTCTTGGATCTATTGACTAACGTTTTATCAGGTTGGGAATGCAAGGACAAGTGTTTAGTTGCAAAACAAGAGTATACAAGCATGTATAATGGCCAAAAGGAAATGGTCATGTACAATAAATTGTGTACGACCCTTTCGTATTGATTTATGGACCACAAAGTTAATAAGGTCATGAATCATTAGGTATGCAAATTGGACCGAGCATATGAGGTTCGAGACAGTGGCAACTCCCTCCACTCGCTTTTATAAAGAACTTCAATTGTCATATGAACTCAAAGAAATTAGAAAGAAATCGTAGTAGAGTAAATCCAATACATGGAAGGGCTTAGAAAAATGTCTTTTATTCCTATCACTTCACTTCATTTTGAGAAAAAAAGAATTGTGTGTGAAAGAATAGTGAGATGTTCTCCCGGATGTGACTGGTGTTCCGACTACTCAGTTCGGTATTTACCACCTACAAAATGAGGTCGGGGCTCTCTCCCCTGTTGTACCTCCGGTATGAGAATTAGTATTCAATATTGGAGAATATGGAGAGGTAATATTGAAATTCAGATAGTTCGGATTTCAAGAGTCCATAACTTTTCCCACATTAGGGTACTTATAGGCACATGATGGCATGTCCATGTTCCATGATTTGTTGTGTCACGTGTCCCACATGTATCTTCCCACTCCCCCACGTTCTATAGCGTCGATCCCCACTCGTCTAGCGGTTGATTATTCCCGCGTTTGTTGTTTGGTGATTTTCGTCTATCTTAAGGTCATTTATTTGGCTAAGTATAGTGGGGGTCGACAACCTCGTAATAGTAGACGGCCTATGTGAGCGTAGAGTGTCTCAGGGGGTCGACGACCTCGAGATGGTAGACGGCCTATGTGAGTGTAGAGCCCCTCAGGGGGGTCGACGTTCTGGGGGTGCACATTAAGTAGCCGATTATCGTGGAGAATTATTAACACCGTCCTATATCAGTGTGTAATATGGGTAATTAGCCTTTCGACCTACACTACATGTGTCTTTTATAAATTTTGTATAGCTTTTTAGGAGAAAACACTAGCTAGAGGTAGAAATTTTTTTACCACCTTCCCATGGCTTGGTAATGATTATGTGAAACACAAACTAATGAGCCACAAGATATTTGAATAATCATTGATGCCTTAACCTCCAACCTACATCTTGTTAATTCAGTACAACCACATTTGTGTAGCCTAAGAACAGATAAAATCAATTGAAAATTACCAGTAATAGTACTATATTGGAAAGGTTTGTATTAGACATTAATTATTGGGAACAATGACTATGACTTAATTAATATTTAATTAAAGTCATTAAGCCTTATTATAAATAACCCACTTTGTTGATTAGAATCCTTCATCCATTCCTTTTATTAATGCCTTGATTGTAATCACTTCCCACCTAAACAAGTCTTGTTCCGGCTCTTGAATTCCATTGTCTGCTTTTTACCTCATAAACATTCCAATTTGTATCATAAAGTGGTCCAAAAAGTTGCTTAGCAATGGCAATGGTAGTGGACCTCGACTTTTCGGGTTATAGTTATAGTACGACCACAACAACCACCACCACCACCTCAACCGAAGGGGAACAGGGTTGTAACTGGAATGACTGGTCACCGGTTGTCGACTGGGAGGCACTTTCCGGCGACCAGGAGGATTTCCATTACCTAATTGACTCTATGATCGATGAAAATGTTGAACTACATCAGGTGGTTAGGTCTGTACATGAAGGGTACAACAGTTTGTCCCCAGATGCTACGATGACTGATGATGAAACCAATAGCACTGAAGATAGCAAGGGGCTAAGGCTTATACACCTGCTGATGGCTGCAGCCGAGGCGCTAACTGGGGTGAACAAATGCCGGGAATTGGCTAGGGTGATATTGGTTCGGCTCAAGGAGTTGGTGTCGCCAATTGATGGCACTAACATGGAGAGGTTGGCAGCGTATTTCACTGAGTCCTTGGAGGGTTTGCTAGACGGCACTGGTGGCAGTGGTGGCGGCAAGAAAATTTTGGGCGGTGGCAAGGAGGAGCACCACCACCAGACGGATGTTTTGGCCGCATTTCAGCTGTTGCAAGACATGTCACCCTATGTGAAATTTGGACATTTCACAGCCAATCAAGCTATAATAGAAGCTGTGGCACATGATAGGAGGGTTCATATTGTGGACTATGATATCATGGAGGGGATCCAATGGGCTTCATTGATGCAGGCGTTGGTGTCTAGAAAAGATGGCCCACCTACTCCACACCTTAGGATTACAGCGTTATCACGGGGTGGAAGTGGGCGGCGATCATTTTGCACCGTACAAGAGACAGGTCGACGCTTGACCGCCTTTGCAGCCTCCATTGGTCAACCTTTCTCATTCCATCAATGTAGGCTCGATGCTGATGAAACATTTAAACCATCCTCTTTAAAATTAGTTCGAGGAGAGGCTCTTGTAATCAATTGCATGCTCCACTTGCCACATTTTAGTTACCGTGCCTCAGATTCTATCGCTTCTTTTTTATCTGGATCCAAGACCCTAAACCCGAGACTAATTACCCTCGTGGAAGAAGAAATGGAGCCCATCGTGGATAATGGGTTCATGGGGCGATTCATGGACTCATTGCATCATTACTCAGCCGTATACGACTCACTCGAAGCAGGATTCCCAATGCAAGGCCGATGTCGAACACTCGTGGAACAAGTATTTATCGGTCCTCGAATATCCAATTCACTAGCTCGTATCTACCAAGCATGTGGCGAGGGAGACACATGTTCTTGGGCTACGTGGTTGGCCGCGGTGGGATTTCGTCCAATGAACCTAAGCTTTGCCAATCATTGTCAAGCCAAATTGTTGTTGGGACTTTACAATGATGGGTATAGGGTGGAGGAGTTAAGTAACAATAAACTTGTTCTAGGATGGAAGTCACGGCGCCTACTTTCAGCCTCTATATGGAGCTCACAAGATAGTGATTTATGATTATTTTGCTTTTATATTTCCTATTGTTAATCTTGTTTTCACTAGATCCATCGAGCATTTAGCTTGGGGTTCTAGTGTTTTCTTTTCTAAAGGCTCGATTATATAGAATAAGAGTCCAATTTTAAAATATTTGTGTAACAATGATTATCGTTTCAAAAAAATTGTACGCCGGGTAAAAGATGTATAAATTGAAAGACGTATAAGCCAAAAATTGTACTTTCGACGTAAAGCGACAAACTTTATCTTGAATAGGGTATGGTTTAGCTAAAAATGATCACAAATTTAAATCAATAATACTTTGAATAAACGATCAACCAAACCATCGAGTAAATGCTATTTTAAAATATTATGTTTATTAGAAGCCCTAGTTGACAAAGGTGGTTGAGATACCCCTACATGACGTATGTATATTGTGTTTAAAAATTGAAAGATACTCTTTTTTTTTTTTTTGTGGGTTGTTTGTGTTTAAAATTTAAATATATGTTCTTCTATATATCATTGGTACACGATAAGATACCGCGGAATCTACCTTTCAAGAAACAGTATTCTTACAAAATTTGATGAGATCACAGATTTTTGGAAGAACACATAAAAATATTGCAAAGATGCCCTCTGAATTCTGATACGTTTGCACAAGAACAGATTTTAAAATGTACAGTTTTAAATTTTTTATTAGGCAAAATTTGTTACAACCACGTACCTATAGAGAGGCCCCACTTGACGCTCCCATGTCCAACAATTGTTAAGAGCTTTGGACATCCTTGTCAGCAATGACAATCCTACTTTTTTTTTAATATGAAACAAATTTCATTGAACATCGCAATAGCCAACGGTACACGGAGGAAACACCTCCTACACAATGCCCTGCCAAGAGGGAATTTTTGTTATCATTGTGGGTTCCATTTAAATATGAAAGATTGCAGAATTTTTGTTATCATTGTGGGTTGATTTTTCATTCCTCTGGTCGGTGTGTTCAGAAGGATCAAGGGGCTGCTATTGGGGATAGGATTGAACAACAGTATGGCCAATGGTTGAGAGCTAATAGGAAGCTTTCAGATGTGGATCATTGTCGGAGAGGGCTGCTAAAACTCAGCTGAATTGCCCGTTTCAAATCCTGATCCTCAGCAGACTGGTGATGATAGTAATTCTGGGCAGATGGAGGTGGAAGACAATGGGAAAGAAGCAGGTGCGGATATCCAGGTGATGGATAGTAGTGGGGAAGCTCGTCCTTATAGGAGTGAACTAATGGATTTGGGTCAGAGCAAAAACTGGAAAAAGAGGGCTCGCTCAAGTTCAGGTTCGGCTGGTCACCAGGTTATGGAGGTGGATGGATGCGAGCCCAATTCTTGGAGCTCAAGAGGGCAGGCGACTGAGGGTACTGAGGAGTCAACTCCAAAACGAGTTAAACGTGTGCAGGGAGAGGTGGATGTCCATGTTTTGCCAGTGACGTGTGCAGGGAGAGGTGGATGTCCCTGTTTTGCCAGTGGCTGCTGAGCAGCCTTGGCAACCTCCGTAAGGCTGGGAATGTTTTGGGTCAGGGCTTGGGATCCCTGGGGCTGATTGAGCAATCCTCTTGTTTGATCGTTGGGCCAAGTTCCCAGTTTTTGGTGGTCTGGTGGTGTATATGTGTTTCACCAGCTTGTTTTGGTTTGTTTCTTGTCTCTGGTTGTTCAGGTTGGTTCGGTTTGGGAGTGTATATATGTGTCTGCTCCTGTTGGTGGTGGATGGGCTGTTGGTTGGTGTTGGTAGGGTTTTTTCGGGTGTCTTTGGATTTCCGCTCACCTTATGGGTGAAGGGCTGATGAGTTTGATGGTTGATGGATTTCCTGCTCCTGGAAGTTTGCCTCTGCTGATGGTTTCGTTTTTTGCTGGATTCATTTCTTGATTGGGGACCGTTTAGCGTGGGTCGGTTCTTTTGCCTCGTGTGGGGGCTGGTTGGTTTCTGGTGGTCATACATGACCATTGTAATAACTTCAGCTTCGGCTTAGGTTGCACAATCCTACTTTTTGGTACATATTATTTTATTTTGTATTATAGGTTGAAAGATTAATTATTTGTTTTAGTAGTTTTATTATCACCATGTTTGATACACATTCTTTTAAAATACATTTTTCTCTCTTATTTTCAATCATATATTTTTCAATAAAATAATATTACACGCAAATTTAAAATCATAGTTGTCCCAAACGCTGACTCGGATAATGCAGCGGGTCAATGGTTTGACTAGTGACCCGATGATTGGACCGACGGGTCAATTCTTGTTAAATATATTATTATCTATTTATTGAATAATAAAATTTTGACATTTTCTAGCTAAATTAACTTTATGTAATTTAAGTGACTAAAGATCAATTTTCTTGTTAAAATTCAACAAATTGTAAATCCCGTATAATGAAATATGGATTTGAAGCAATAAACAACCATCAATCGAAGACAAATTTATGTGGCAAAATTAAACAAGATAGATTTATATACTATAAGAATATTCTTGAAAAAATAAAATCAACATTTCAAAAATAATCATGCATAAAGCACGTGTTACAAAGTAAATTATTTGAAATAAATGAACACTTTCTCAATTAAGAAGAATTAGAGCCCATCCATGCTTGGGAATCAGACATAAATTCTTCAATTCCTTCGCCTTTTACTATTTAAAAAAGGACCAAAAACTTTTCTTTATATTTTAATCACAGTTTTTCATCAAAACACTATTTAAAATGCTTTTTGGGAAAATAATGTGGCTCAAACATGGTGTATATTTGAGAAATTGCGAACTTTTTTATTTTCGCGTTATAAAATTTGAATATTAAAAATAATAGGTTCGTTTTGTAGGTCACTGTCATTTTGTTTCTTTCTTTCTTTTTTTTTTTTTTTAACAAGGTGAAATAACAATTTCCCAAAAAAAAAAGGGGGGATACAAGATTTATACAACACATTTTATAACCCTTTCTTGTAGGAAGCTATCTAGAAACCACACTAATTCAACGAGAATATATTAGATGTGTTTATCATGTGTGACAAAATAAGACTTGTTAACTCGACAAAATAAAGGTAAAATCTTTGACTTAAATAAATGTCTACAAACCAAATAGAAAAATCAAGATGTGCTCAACCGAATACTCGTCGCCGTTGTCAATGTAGTGTTTAAGCGGCAAGATTTTGAAAAATACATGCTAATATTTAGAAGGCTTACTAGACCAATTAGGTCAATCTAGAAATGACCAACTATATGAAGTGATCTCTTAAAATTAAACTCATAAGAGTCAACGAGTAACATATGTCAAGATTTTGTTGACACTTTGATACTATGTACGAGACTGTGCGACGAGCCCAGTCATCTATATGCTAACTAACCTGGCAGCATTTCGAATATTCTAGCTAGGTATTTGCTAGTTCAATGTCACGTCTACTTTAAGTATTGAGAGAAATCAATTACGAGCTACTTTAAAACAATCTTTATCTCTCCATTTATTACGAAGCCCCCTCAAGATATCTTCTGATTTTCAATGTCTAGTATGTTCCGTAGCGAAAGCATTTTGGTCTCAACTCGTGACATAACTTTCCACTTGAGACATACGTATTTTTTGGTCACTTAGTTGAATTGTGTAATTCCACGTGCACAATAAAATATTCTCCGTCTATCATGATCTAACGGGGGCTCACTACCTTCATTCGACTCAATTAAAATATGTCTTGCATGTCCACGTGAATATATTCGAAGTCTAGCTCTGTTGTCACTTGGGAATCGGGGTTTAATTCCAAAAGATTAACGTAGTCATTCCTTTTTAGAACAATTTGTAGGGTTTTCTTTCTTGAAAATGATAAAACGAATTAATAATTTTAAAAACATCGAAAATGAGGAGGAGGGTACAAAATTATTCCACGTGGTCACGGGTGCCAGATAGATTCAGTTTTGTACACTACCAACATGATAGGATTAAATAAAATTTAGACACGCAAATATATTGCAAAAGAATATGTTAAATACATAATAATTTATTAAACATTGGAAATAATAATTTGAAAGATTAATAAAATAAGACTGCTACATTATCGTACCAATATCCCTCTGTCAGGATTAAACTTAAAATTTATACAACACATTTTAAACCCCTTTCTAAGAAAAATGTTAGTTGTACAGTCTTCTTGTACAGTCAATTACACAACCCCTGTAAAAAAAGACTGTAAATGTAGCCTAATGACCAAGAATTATTCATTATAGTATTCAGATACACGATCTTGAAACGAGATATATATTGAATGCTTTGATAAATAAAAAACTTGTTAGACCGATCACGTCGATCTAGATATGATAAACAAGGTGAAATGTTGAATTTACAAGCGCTAATAATTAATAGAGATCAAAGATCTGATTATCACCTAGATATCGTGTTAAGTAATGTCCAGCCAAATTTAAATACCAACAAATCTCACAATAGTATGACCAAGTTTTTTATTAATATGCAAATCTTCTTATTTTCAATGGTGAATCCATGCGAAGAGCAAAAGCCTTTTATTCTTCGTGGCATAACTTTCTATTTAGACGGCTTGGACTTTTCCACCTACTTATGAGTAACTTATCAAGCAAAGAACACTCAAATAGTTACAATTATCAAATTTTCATGATGGCTTGACGATCCTACTTTTCGTGACTGAATGTTTTATTCTACGTCTTAGGTTAAAAAAATGAATAAAGTTTGAAGAAAAAAAATAAAATGGTCTTGTTCTTGAAGCAAATTGTTCATCAACCTTTTTTCTTCAATCTATGGGACACTAATTTGGAGCTGAGTACGGAAAATTGCAGCTGTTCCTAACATTTCACTTTTTAGTAGACTTTATCCTAACATTCAATTTGCGCCAACGAAGGTCCCAAACATTTGATAAATTAGCAGAAGAGATCTAAATGAAAGCCATCCATTTAACCGTTAGTTGACCAATAAAATTGATTTTAATCAAATCGAAAATGGGCAAAATGGAAAATTCATTATTTTTTTCACATAA